CGATTGCCATTCCTAGATTGAATGCAAACGAAAAGATACGTTGCCTGTAATATTACATTTATCTAATTTTTCAACTGTCCGATTATAATTCGTACTCGACTATTGCAAAATCGATCTTTTTATTACCGTATATTTTAAATATAAGTTAATTACGATCGAAACTCTATTATATAAATTAATGTTCTCAGTAGTCTAAAGGCTTAGGACGCTCACACGGAATGCAAGAGATCCGAGTTCGATTCCCGGCCGAGGCAATATTTTTCGCAATAAGTTTATTACAGTTTTTTAAGATTTGGGAAATTTTGGGGGGATTATTTGTTTCAGATTGATTGTGTGAATCCGATAATCTCATCGGCTCGCAATTTATTTCTCACAATTAATTCAATTTAAATGAATGTATATTATATAGTATTGTGTAGTTCAACATCTTAACACTTGGACCGGTAAGGCGCTTCGTTATTTCAAGTTTTAATATAAACGGTCTCGTTTCCAATCATATCAATGTTCTAGCAGCCGATTGCAAAATGTTAGTTCATTGGCGGTTTACAAAGTGATATGCAACGCATATCACTTCAAATAATGTGCATAGCAGTATTACGCATCGCGATGGTTAAAGCGCCATTAAATCCACTCGTGGACTTGCAGTCGGACATAAAATCTATGCAAAGCGCGTATTCGAAGAGGCGCGGTTTCTTCCTTTCACTTTTCCTTCTTTCTTTTCACTTTCCGTTCGCCCTCACCCTTTCATCGCTTTTTCTCATACTTATGTTAGTCGGTATACGTGGTACATTTCCTGTTTTCTCGCTCGAATCGATGTCTTCGTCTCTGACGACGTGTCTTGTTCAAGGTCGCAGGGAAATATCAATGATCGCCGAGAATTTGTAGAAGAGTTACGATGAAATCGTTGAAATGAGAAAATATAAATGAACGCTAGCGATCAATTTAAACCTCCGCAGTCATATTTTTACTTCCTTTAACTGTAATCTGAATCTCTTGTTTAGTCCAAGATTTTATAGGCTGTAATAGGCTGAAAAAAAGATCAGAGTTATTTTTCATCTCCATTACATATATTACCAAATAGGTTTTTTAATTAATCAAAATTGAAAATTGAACAAAAATGAGCGTGAAGTTTGAGAGTGACATTTCGCTTGTGCCAAAAAAGACTTAGATTGCACATGGAGGAGAGGATTTAAAAATTGATACGTAACAGAGAACGTTCCAAGTTATCAATGTTACATCTAATCTTGAAATTGATGTAATTAATTAACAAACCATAATGATCGGATCGTTGTTCCTAGAGAGAATCAATAAGTCAATACCATTTTCTAAATTAACTAACTATGAAACGTAATTGTTTCTGCAGGATAATTTTACCTTGTGTTTGTACTCATTTAAGCAGATTCTCGATAGCGATACTATTTTCAAATATTTCAAATTATTCAATTAATATGCAAATTATTTGTTTAAATATCACAATTTTTGTCTGCGCTCAATCTCTCTTTTTATCTCGATATACGTTATATTTTGTATCCTAATCACCTTTAGATTATTTTATATCGTTTATATTCTTACTGCCGTTTTAATCTTCTCCCTGTATTTTATCTTAAAACCATCTTTGCATTATTCCCTCGCGCGAATCTTTCTCGTTGATAGAAAGACAGAGCGAAACGGAAGTGACAAGAGAGAAGAAATACCTCGTAGCAAGCGAAGTACATCGGTTGAACGAACAAACGGAAATCGGTTTGGTATTGGTATGCTGCCAATGCAGGCATTGCAGAGGCAGCGGGAGGGGCGGGTGACGATTGGTCGTCGTTCACAAAGTGGATCAGCCGCATGCATAAAGCTGGGGGGGGGGGGGAAAAAATCGTCTTACGACGAGCTACCGCTCCGCGCTATCATCCGTCCGGTAAATATTAGCCCGTCCGGATCTACTCGTACGGGACACTTTTTCTTCGCTGTCTCAGCGCGTTCTCGTTCACATAAACAAAGTAATGACGCGCCCGCCAACGCGAAACCCAATTCCCGGATTTCGGCGTTAGCTAGCCGACAATGGATGTAGCCTGTATGCACACGCGTATCCACAGATACAAATACTCGCATGCCGTACGCCCGTACGAACAAGAGCCACGTTAGCTACGTATCGTTGTACGTGTTACGAACACACGTTCGCGAACGGTAAAAGCCACCTCGGCATGCATGTAAATCACTTCGACGACGTCGACTACGACGACGACGACGATGGCGACGACGAGGATCCTTCTCTCTCTCTCTCTCTCTCTCTCTCTCTCTCTCTCTCTCTCTCTCTCTCGTCCCCCTAAATCCTCTTCCTCTTTTCCTCCCTCTCCCCTCCTCGTTGTGCAGGTTAGCGTCGTGCATCGACTCACTCCACCGATATTAGCTATCGACTTCTCTCGCTAAACAATGCTTCGATCGCGAATGTGAGCTGCGAACTCTCTCTCTCGCTCCTCTACATTCTCGTCCTCTAGTTTTATCTTCTTTTTTCGACTCTATAACCTGATATCCGTTACCTGGTCCACCCTTTCTACCTTCCCTTCGCTTTTACTTCTTTATCTTCTTATTCTTCTTCCTTCGTGTTTCTTGATTGGAGTATTTTGGTATCTATTACTTCAGGTTGTTGTCCTTGTCCCCTAACTTCATCTCATGTTCTTCTTTCTTGGGTTGTTCCTATCTTGATCCTGCATCGTCGACCTTGTTAGCACCGCTCGCTTATGCATTATTTTCGCTTCGGCTTCGATCTTGATCCTGCTATCCTCGCTCCTTTGCATTCTTCGAATTGAGAGAAGTTCCCCTCTTCTTGTTTTTCTGTCTCTCCTGATATTTATTATCTCGCCACATCGTTCTTGTTCTTTTAACACAGTCTTTCTCCATACCTTGCTCTTTTTTTTGTCTCCTTACTTCACTATCTTTATTCTCGATATTTATTATCTCATCATGTCTTCATTGTTTTGTCTCTCTCTCTCTCTCTCTCTCTCTCTCTCTCTCTCTC